ACTCTGTAGTGATAGCCCCTTTATTCCTATTTGTGATTTGTGTTTTTCTGTATTTCTTACTTTGTTTTTTCCTAAATATTTAACAATATTATTGATCTTTCAGATGAAAAGCAACTTCTGGCTTTGTTAATTTCTCTATCATTTTCTGTTCTATTTCATTGGTTTCTTACCTTTGTTATTTCTTTCCTTCTACTTACTTTGTATTTAATTTGCTTAACTTTTCCTAGCTTCTTAAGGTGAAAGTTAGATAATCGATTTGAGAAAACTCTTCTAATGTAAGCAGTTAATTAAAGATATCAGTTTCTCTCTATCCTCTGCTTTAGCCGCCTTTAAATACTCTTCTTTCACTGCATCCCACAAATTTTTGTATGTTGTGTTTTTATTGTCATTCAGCCCAAAATATATTCTAATTTCCTTTGTGATTTCTTCTTAAGCTTTTGTGCTATTTAGAAATATCTTGTTTTATTTTTGAGTTTTGGGGTGTTCTTAATATCTTATTATGATTTCTTTGTGATTTAATTCTGCTATGGTCAGAGAACAAATTCTGTAAGATTTTAGTCTTTTTGGTTTTTAATAGCTCTTCAAGTGCGTCTGAAAAGACTGTTATCTTCTGTAGTCTTGGGGTATTCTGTTCCATAATGTCAATTAGGCCAGGTGGTTTTTATAGTGTTATTCAGATCTGTATTCTTGCTGATTTTGTGTGTGTGTGTGTGTGTGTGTGTGTGTGTGTGTGTAAGGAAGATTAGCCCTGAGCTAACATCTGTTGCCAATCTTCCTCTTTTTGCTGAGGAAGACTGGCCTTGGGCTAACATCCGTGCCCACCTTCCCCTACTTTATCTGTGGGACGCTTGCCACAGCATGGCTTGATAAAGCAGTCCGAACCTGCAAACCCTGGGCCACTGAAGCGGAGCACGTGAACTTAACCACTACACCACCAGGCCAGCCCCTTGCTGATATTTTTAATCTAGGCTTTTTTATGAGAGAAGATTGTTATTATTATAGAGTCTATTTCTGCCCTTATTTTTTGTCAGTTTTTGCTTCATATATTTTAGAGACATTAATTCAGCCATCATTTATATTATAGTTTCTCTGTATGTAATATCTTTATTTCTCTGGCTGCTTTCAAGATTATTTCTTATCTTTGTTTTCAGTGCTTTTACTATGATGTGCCTACATTTGATTTTCTTTATATTTATCCTGCGTTGGGATTACTGAGCTTCTTGGATTTGTAAGTTGGTTTTTTACCAAATTTGTGAATTTTTGGCCATTTTTTCTTTTAATATATTTTTCTTCCCCATTCTGTCTCTCTTCTCTTTTTGGAACTCCAGGTACGTGGAACTCATACCACTTCGTATTGTCCTACAGGTCACTGAGGTGCTATTCACTTTTTTCAATCATTTTTTCTGTTCCTCAAATCAGATACTTTCTTTTACTCTATTTTCAAATTCATTGTCTTTTTTATTCTACTCTCTCAAATCTGCTATTAAGCCCATTCGGTGAACTTTTTTTCGTTTTAGATATTACTCTTTTCAGTTCTAGATTTTCCATTTGGTTCTTTTCTTCTGTTTTCCATTTCTATGCCAAGATTCCCCTTCTGTTCAATCATTGTGACCATATTTGCTTTGAAAATGGAAGCTTTAAGGTCCTTGTCTGCTAATTCCAATAGGGATCATCTTGGGCCCGGTTTCTATTTGACTGCATTTCTCTTGACAATGGATCACTTTTTAAAAAAAATTTATTTGCGTATCTAGTAATTTTTTATCATATACTAGACATTATGGGTGATATGGTACATAGACTCTGGATTCTGTTATCTTCTGAAGAATGTATTTTGTTCTAGTAATCAGTTAACCTGGTTAGATTCGTACTCCAAACTCTGCCTCCTTGCAGTTGGCAAGAGCTGAAATATGTACTCAGTTCTGTCAACCATTCAGCAGCTACCTCTGTCATTCATTGTGGAGTCTCCCCCATGAATGTGTAATTCAAGAGTCAACCAAGGATAGTGGTGGGGTTAGCTGAGACAGTTCCATCCTCTGACTCCTCAAGCCAGTTTAAGAGGTGCTTTGTGCTTGAGTCCTGCTGTCAGTGCTATCAGGACAGGGCATTGCCCTCACTTGAAAAGCTATACAAAGGCAAATCTCATCTAGTGCTGTTGGCTCCTTTCTAATGAGAGGGTGTACTCCTCTCTTATGTCTGCCGCTTTTATTGCTCTCCAGAGCCTTCAAATAGTTATATTTTATATTTTTTCAAGGGTTTATAATTATTATCTACAGGAGAGATAGGCTAATAAAAGTTAGTTCACCATCACTAGTAGTGGAACTTCTCTGATATACTTTGTAATGGTTGAATTATAACTATCTAACTTATAAAGACATCCATCTGTATATTTAATATGGTCATTTCTCTACATCCTTGTTTGCCTGTAAATGTGTTTTTAGAGGAAAAACGTGCAAAAGTGACACATTTTTAAATAGCACAAATAGTGATTATGACTTGAAAAATTTTTTAATGCCAGGCACAATGGTGTGTGCTTTACATGTGTTGCCTCATTTAATCCTATGAAGTAATCACTATTATTGCTATATTGTGAAGTAAGGAAACCAAACAGAACTGATCTTTAGAGAGAGAACTTACCAAGGTCACACAGCTAAGAAGTTTTGGATCAGAACTTAGTACTAAACTTTTACTCTCTTAAGCACAGAAACTTTGTTTCTGGGTCAGAATGGTCAAGGAATTTTTTTTAATGTAAAGAATTATCTTTTAAGTATGGGAGTGTGTTTATATACTGATTGGAAGGAGCTGATAGAGAGGGGAATGTTTAATGTTTATAAAGAGCAGTGTGATAACTGATGGAGCAAGTCTCAGAGGTGACAGGAGAGAATGAAGTCAATTGCTGAAGAAAGTCTGACCTGCAACAGATGGAAGCCTTTCTCCCTTAGAGTTAAGGGAAGGACATATGAATTGGTGGGGCTATAGAAAGGCTTAAGGGAGGAGACAGGATGTAGAGGGAGTGAGTTTGTCTGAATATTCTTGATAAGAGTCTATTAGGGTAGACTAAGAGTCAGTCGAATGGTCATTGGGTATAGTTTTGGGGAGAGTGGCAGAGGTTTAAATATCCCTAAAGTAAATGGCAGAGGAAGCTAAACAAAGTTAGGTAGAGTGATTGATGAGTGGGGCTCAAAGCTCAGTTGAGGTTGGAGCCATGTGCTTGTAGGTGCATCAATTATGTGGTTTCCTCTCTGCTCTGCTATCTGTGGTGAGATTAAAAAAGACTCATGTTAGTCTGAGATAGGATTTATAAGGCACACATGATGGAAGGACAAAGATACAAGAGAATTATGGGTGCTTTTATAGTAGTATAGTTTTCAGTGTACATATCTGAGATTAATTGAGTTGATCTCCTGTTGGAAGACTTTCTTTGATTCTGAAATGTAAGATGAAAGTTATCATTTCAAAAATAAAGTGTGAAGACCTATAGTGAATAAATACTGTGGGCAAGATGTGTGATGTGGTGAGACAGTCTTGAGACAAATGGAACCCTGAGTGAGTGCCATGATACTGACACTGATTAACTGGATGACATCACGGAAATCACTAACTTGGACTGTAGTTAGTTTTGTAAACTGAAAGTAGCCCTTCAAGTTCTACGAGACACCTTGTTGTCCACCTTCAGTGGTAAATTATGAAATTCATATTTTAAAAATAAGCTGAAAATAGACCTACTTTGTGCTTTTTCCTGCATTGCTATAAGAATTGGGAGGGGCTAGTATAAAATATATATGAAATTTTCTTAATACTTCTAACTTTGTGTATGCCTTGCAGAGCAACCTATTATTTGATGCATTAAGAAGAGTTAAATGTGCTTTAATAATTGATTAGTCAAATTAAATGAATAAGTCAAATTTTCTGTGAGGCACCCAGATGAATAAAATATACATATAGTATATGACAAGATTATTGTTCCCCAAATCTTACCTAATCTACTTATGAAGTCACTTCCAAAATTTCATATAGTAGAATAGAATATATGTGCATAAACAATTGTCTCTAATTATTCTTGGAGAATTATCCATATTCCTGATCACCTATTTATAGGATGCACTGCAGTGCTATTTCAGCACCTTCTTCAAAGCAGGGAGCATCTCAAAGTAAATAATATCTCTGAGTCCTCGTTAGGCAGTGAGCTGTTCTCTCCTTTTGGTCCCATGACTGACTGTGAGGGGAATGGAGTAATGGATTTTCTCAGGAGGGTGAGGAACAGCAGCACATCCTCACAACTGATGGATCATGTGCGCATCTCTTTCCTCTATTATTGATGACTAGAAGCTGGCTTAGTTACTGGCTATCTTGTGTTTAACATGTAGGTGGAGGAGGGGAGTCCTTTCCATATCTTGAATCAGTAGATCTACTTAACCTTTATGAATCATAAGGCCCTTTATGAACCCCCAGTGGAATGTTTCTCTGGTTGGGAAGATAAGGCACGTGGACCAGCCTGACTGCTGCAGCCCAGCTCAGGGATGTGTCCTTCACGAGCACCTCATGGCAGACGTTCCCCTGGAGAGTAGTGAGAAACCTGTGTGAACGTGTTAGAATAGCGCATCTGTATGGCCTTTGTACCCAGAAAGGCTATCAGTGTTTGGAAATTTGTTGTTTGTGTGAACTCTGTTAATTTCATTCATTCAGTCAACAATTTATTAAGCATCACTGTGTGCCAGACACTGTTCTAGGTCTTGGGGACACAGCAGCAAAGAAGACACAGTCCCTGCCCTCATGAAGTCACATCCTAGTGGGGGCAGGTGGGCGCTAAACAAGGGGTGATAAGTACAGGGTTGGGGGGACTGTTGTTTTCAACAGGGCAGTGAGGGAAGCCTCCCTGTAAAGGTGGCAGTGGAGTAGGGGGCTGAAGGAGATAAGGGAGCCTCCCTCTGGTGCTGTGGGTGCTTTTGAGCTAAAAGAATTTTCTGCGTGTTAATCAGGGCTGTCCTGTGAATTTCTTTCAGCTGGAGATGGAAAAGCTTCAGCTACAAGCCCTTGAGCAAGAGCATAAGAAGCTGGCCTCCCGCCTGGAGGAGGAGCGTGGCAAGAACAAGCACGTGGTCCTAATGCTCGTCAAGGAGTGCAAACAGCTCTCGGGCAAAGTCATAGAGGAGGCCCAGAAGCTAGAAGACATAATGGCCAAACTGGAAGAGGAAAAGAAAAAGACGAGCGCATTAGAAGAGGAACTTTCTGCTGAGAAACGAAGAAGCACAGAAATGGAGGCTCAGATGGAAAAACAGCTCTCTGAGTTTGACACTGAACGGGAACAGCTTCGTGCCAAGCTACACCGAGAAGAAGCACACACCACTGACCTCAAAGAGGAGATAGACAAGATGAAGAAAATGATTGAGCAACTGAAAAGGGGAAATGACAGCAAACCAAGCCTCTCTCTCCCCCGGAAGACCAAAGATAGGCGTTTGGTCTCCATATCTGTGGGAACAGAAGGACCTCTGACAAGGTCTGTTGCTTGTCAGACAGACCTAGTGATGGAAAGCACTGACCACATGAAGAAGTTGCCTTTGACCGTGCCTGTTAAGCCTTCCACAGGGAGCCCTCTAGTTTCTGCAAATGCAAAAGGGAATGTGTGCACCAATGCCGCATTGGTCAGACCAGGTATTGACAGGCAGGCTTCCCATGGTGACTTGATTGGCTCCTCTCTGCCCACTGTCCCACCTCCAAGTGCAAACAGAATTGAGGAAAATGGACCGAGCACTGGCTCAACAGCAGATTTAACAAGTAGCACACCCGCACTTCCCAATAATGCTGCCCCTCCCATCCTGCAAACGCCAGGCATAGCTCCCCAGAGCTACTCGCAAGCTCCACCTGTGCACAGTTTACATTCACCATGTGCCAATGCGTCATTGCATCCAGGTCTAAACCCACGAATCCAAGCAGCTAGATTTAGATTTCAGGGCAATGCTAATGACCCAGACCAAAATGGAAATACTACCCAAAGTCCTCCATCAAGAGATGTCTCTCCTACAAGTCGTGACAACCTAGTGGCCAAACAACTAGCTCGGAATACAGTGACCCAAGCACTGTCAAGATTTACAAGCCCTCAAGCGGGAGCACCCCCAAGGCCTGGAGTGCCCCCCACAGGGGACGTTGGCACCTACCCTCCGGTCGGTCGGACCAGTTTAAAGACTCCCGGTGTAGCTCGAGTTGACAGAGGAAACCCTCCTCCCATCCCTCCAAAAAAGCCAGGGCTCTCCCAAACTCCTTCTCCACCACACCCCCAGCTCAAGGTTATTATGGATAGCAGCAGGGCCTCCAATGCAGGGGCCAAAGTTGATAACAAAACTGTGGCTTCGCCTCCTTCCGGTTTGCCACAAGGGAACAGGGTAATAAATGAGGAGAATCTCCCTAAGTCATCCTCCCCTCAGCTGCCACCAAAACCATCCATAGATTTAACTGTGGCACCGGCAGGCTGTGCCGTTTCAGCCCTGGCCACGTCTCAGGTGGGTGCCTGGCCTGCTGAAACCCCTGGACTGAACCAACCTGCATGTTCAGAAAGTTCCCTTGTCATTCCCACCACCATTGCCTTTTGCTCTTCCGTAAACCCTGTTAGTGCCTCATCCTGTAGAACAGGTGCCTCAGACAGCCTCCTGGTAACAGCATCAGGTAAAGGGATTGAAATATTATACCCTTCTTTAAGAATGTGGCCTGTCCTCTCACTTGCCTTAATTTCCTTCACATTGCCTTGAAACTTTTTTTTAAATTTGATACATTTTTTTTCTTATTTCTTCCCTCTCTTTTTTTTATATTTTTCTTTAAAGGCTCTGGGGTATGGTGATTCATCTTGCTATATGATTTGTGGTTTCGTTATGCTCAGTGCTTTCTTCTTTTAAAATAACCTGAAAGGAGTGGTTTGGAGTACATGGAGACCATTAATTTAGAGACTAAAGCATTTCCATGGGAGGAAAGGCTATTCTTTCTTATTAAATATTTATCTCACAAGACTTCAGTATTCGTGGGTCATCACCAGACAGTATGTGTTCAGTTCCATCTCTTCTGAGATAACTTTAAAAAATACTTTTAGTAGTTATTAACACTACAGTCTACCTTGGATTATCAAATAGATTTCAGTTCTATAATTGGTAAGTTCTAATTTTTAATATCAGTTTCAAGTGTTTTTTTAACCTCAAAAATAGAGTGTGTATATTTATAAATCTCTGTTCTGAGTTTAGTTTATTGCAAAAGCTGTTGACTCTATTTAGAGCTGTTGCCTTCCAGCACTTGAGCGCAGATGGATAACATAGCATGTGGGCTATATTAGAGAAGGTTTCCATTGCAGATGTGGTTTATGAAGTCACTGAATGTGGGATTCTTGAACAAAGAAGTCGATAAGGAACTGGATGTTGCCCTTTTGTTATACGATGCTAGAGGAAGCATTGCTTTTTATTGACATGACTGGATTAGTTCTTCACTGAGTAAATGTGGCTCTAAAATAATGTTATGGTGTCAAGGTTCTGTTGAAACTTTGGGAAAGTCTCTCCTACTGTGGGATCTTAGTGGTTAGCAGAGACTATTGGTTCTAATGAGAGAGAAACTAAAGAATTAAAGGAAGATCTGAGTAGTGTTATATTTAAAATTTAAGGGGGAGAGTGGGAATGAGAAAAACAGCACTTTACTTGCTAATTATCAGATAATGAGAGCAGTATACCAGGGCTTATTTTTCCATTTATAAGTTTGTCTCCTTGAAATTAAACTCCTTGAGAGGCTATGTTCATATTTTGAGGAGTAAAATTGGGGATTGGAAACAGCGTGGACTTGGATGACAGTCAGATCGGCGTTGGAATCTAGGCTCTGCCATTTACAGCTGTGTGTTTTGGGTGAATTTTCTTAACAAGTTTTCTCATCCTTAATACGGAGCTTATGCTACTCATGGGGGAGGGTGGCTATTAGGGGGATTTAATATCAACACGTGCAAAGAGCACGGTATTGCACTTAGAGCAGCATGGGTGACAAATAAATAGAGGTGATACTACTGCTTCAGTGATACTGTTGCTTAAAGCATTTTTGAAAATTTTCTTTAGAATTGATCTCACCACTACTTTGTGATGTCCTTACAGGCATTCAGCATGCCATATTTTTTATCCAAAATGGTATTACTGAGCTGGACAGCCCTTCTCGAAATGGCCTAAAATGATGTTGGCTGTTTTCCACAAGTTAAATCCACCTTCAAAGGGGGAATTTTTGGTACCATTAGGGAGAATCAGAGAATGTGCTATGAGGTCTTAAGGCAGTTGCAAAACACAACTTCCAAAAATGTTTGGAGCAGTAGCAGTGCTGTTGACATAAATGCACAGACTGTGAAACAGAAAATACTTTGAAGGATATATAAATTTTGTCAGTTTTTAAAAATTACAAAACCATCTTTGCTTGGATAGCTTGATGCTTTGCCAGTTGTTGCCTTGATCATTACTGTGGTCCAGAGTCCAGCGCAAATGCCCTTTGGTTTCAGTGGAGAAGCTTTAAAACCAGGATCCTTGACTGAGGAACATTTTATCCACAGGATTATAAGTTAACCTTTAAAGACAGAGAATTCCTGGTCCATTATATATTCACCAGAATGGGCTGCCTAAGATACAGTGGAATTTTGGATAAAGGAGCCATAACCCCTCTGAAAAATGCCCCTGTGCTGGTATCCAGAGAGCAAAAGAGTATAAATACAGGGGCCAAAGAAATAGCAGCCACTGAAGATACATGAAACTGGTTCCTCTGATGGTGTAATTTATTTTTTTTTTTTTTGAGGAAGATTGATCCTGCGCTAACATCTGTTGCCAATCTTCCTCTTTTTCTTTTTTCTCCCCAAAGCCCCAGTATAGTTGTATATGCTAGTTGTAGGTCCTTCTGGTTGCTCTATGTGGGACACCACCTCAGCATGGCTTGATGAACGGTGAGTAGGTCCGTGCCCAGGATCCAAACCGGTGAACCACAGGCCACCGAAGCAGAACACGTGAACTTAACTGCTATGCCACCAGGCCGGTCCCCCCTATAATTTGCCCACAATATTCTCAGAACTTCAAGATTACCTTTGGTGGGATAACAGGTTTCTATCATTTGATTATAAGACATGGCTTATTAGGGGAAAATGGAGGCAGTGTCATTCAGCAAGTGTTTACTAACTATCTAGTCTATTCGGGGAAGGGAAATGTTATTACAGTTACATAGTGGGGTATATAGCTCAACCATGGGTGTGGGTCAACCTGAACTTTCTAAATGAGATATAGGATTTCAACTCTTTTCCATTTAGATTGCCCCTGTTTCCACTGCCTTGCCCATTGCCACTAGGAAGCACCGGGGATCCCTCCATCCTCCTTCTTAACCTATCGGTGCCCCAGTGAGCTTGTGCCTCTCTAGATCGTAAGCTCATTGATAGGTATTAATCTTCTAAACAGCCACTAATGCCATTGTGGTTGGTTAGAGCAGGGCATGGGGACAGAGCTCATCTGCCGAATACCTGGTAGATGCCCTGTTCTGATTTCAATGATGAAAAGAACACTGGACCAAGTGTAATAAGGCAGAGTTAGGCCATTTCTGCCCTTTTCTATGTATTACCCTAAAGAGCAAATTCTCGCTGAGCCAGTAGCTTTTCCATCTGAAAATGAAAGTGTTGAACCAAAAAGTAATAATAGTTCCAAATCAAAAAGATAGTAAACTTGCCTATTGAATTTTTCAAACAACAGTTTAGTACCTCTCCCTCCTTGGAGAACTACTAGAGCCCATGATCTTCCAAACTCTAAAATTCTGTGTTTCTATGCCAGCTTATATCTATGACAAACAATTAGGATTAAGTTAAAGCACTGGGGAGAATTGCAAATTGTGTTGTAAATTACTTTAACTCTATTAGCAATTTTTACGGTCAAATGTTAAAATTTTAAATAACATTTAAAATTGTAAATGAGTTAGAATTCCTTGTTCCTCCTGAACTTGCCAAAGGAACACATTTTAATTGTTAGATGAACAGAAGTCTCAATCAGAAATTACCGCAGGCAACTGAGTTTCCATACCCTTGGAAATTTTTTTCTTTTTTTTTTTTTTTTTTTATTTCATACATTTTACTTAATTTGGTTCAGACTTTTTTCCTTGGTTAAACATACATTTAAAAAATTATTCTTCATGTATGATTGGCTTAAAGGCTAAACAGAAAACGAGATTGATCTGAGCTATGACATTAACCTTCTCCACACTCTGAAGCTGATGCCAGAAGCTGTTCTCAACTCCTCTTCCCTCTGCCACTGCACATTCTGTCTGTTCCCTTCGTCACTGCATGTTCTGCGAGATGCTCACTTTTCCTAATGTTTGCATATGACGCGGCAAAGCTGAATGACCTTTTTCTAACATCATTAGAGGAGCTGTGTGACCACAGGTCTCTTCTATCATTACTTAACCAGTCAACTAAATATTACCATTTTTATCATTGCTGGGAATTTCAAATGAACAATAAAGTCTCATGGTGAAGTTTTATTTTATTTTTCCCATATTTATAGCAGGATTTATTAAAATAACGTAAGCTTGTCTTTGTTAGAGAAAATTGGAAGTGCTAGTAGAAATAAAATTTATTTAAACTTTAAGAATACTTGGTATTTATAAAGCATTTTTCTTTTGTAAAAAAATTTTTAAATATATTGCAAACCTCTAAGAAAATAAGAAGTTGATATATATTCTTCTGTAGTTTTGTATAATAGTGAGAAAAGTGTCTAAGACTCTTGAGTGGTCTAGAGATTGAGAAAATTTTTGAATATTTTATCTTTCAGATAGCTTAGCATTAAAAATAGAATTTCCCAGGAAAGTATGTCCACAATTGAATATTTCCATATAAATATAAAAATCTAAATATATAAGTATAAAAATATATTTATATTTAAATTGACCCCCAAACTCTAGAGTTGTATTGAAAAAAGGAAAATGAAAACAAAACCCAAAAGAATAGCAATCCATTTAATATATACCTGTTGATATTCTTAAAAAGAAATTAATAACCAAGACCCCTTAGATGAGATAGAGGGATGGGTTGGGGGGAGGGAGGCAGGGAGGGAGACAAACTGACCGAGCTGAGCCACATCCCTCCTTTCCTGGAGAGGACCACAGTGTGATGCCTTCATATTGCCTTTGTGTTTGCTTTGTGTCAAGGTTTCATTCCTTGATGTTTATAATTTCTCTGTTTGTCATCCATTTCTAATAAGTACTGATTTAATTTTTGTGGGCTTGTTTTTTTGTTTGTTTTTAAGAAAATACAAAAGGTAAAATGTACCAGAGAGAAGCCTTCTTGTAAGTATGAAGTAAAAATACTACTTTTGTAAGAAGAGCTATTGAATATCAATGGGAAATATAAAGCTTAGATAAATATTTAATTTTATGAGCATTTGAATTTTGTGTGTCATTGCAGTCTAATAGGGTAAAAGCAATAAATTATTCATGGACCTAATAATTGATTATGAAGATATAATACCCAGCTTTTAATAAGCAGTCTAGTTTCATTTGTATAAACTGCTTTGTTTTGTTTTTTTACAAAGAATTTTTAAAATACTGAGAAATTCCTTTGATATGCAACCTTTAATATTTATTAAAGTAATTTAAGGCCAATAATTTAAGATTCAATTCTAAGAACTGAGTATGACATACATATTAATATAACACCCATATATCTAGAATATTATCGTGATACCAGTGAGCAGAGAATATAAAAGATCCATCAGTTGTATCTTACTACAGGGGCTATTACCGGATATGTGAGGAATGAATATATGAACGTATGCCCCCATGTGCACACCAATATTACTTATTACTTAGAGGCATTTGGGGCTCCATAAGAAGGAAAGTAAAATTACTTATTTTGAAATTTAGTTGTATCTAAGCCAAAAATCACAAAATACCTATATATCACATTAAATAAACATTTTTACTTTACTGTTTTTACAGCCTTTTGATCAAGGAAGAATTCAGAAAATTTTCCATGCTATATGCAGCCGACTTCACATACTTAACAGACTCTCTTCTAAAGCTGCTAAATACTGATGAGAAATGTCTAACTATGATAACTCTTAGGATTTTTCTTAAAACTGTATGGTAGAGTGTCCTGTTTTATTGGCTGATTACAAGTTTCTGGTACACTTGTGGTAAAGGTGGCCAGATGAGAAAGTCTTCAAAATTGCGTATTGAATATTTGTGCTGGTGTATTCTAGATCCAGTTACATATGTTGTGCTTCTATGAGCTCTTGATACTGAATAGCAGTTGGCCCCCCGTTATTTTTATTCCCAAATAAGGGAATTCAAGGAATGTAAATAGATTCCTTGACAGTATTTGGTCCATCTTAATGGTTTATGTAAAATTTATAATTAAGTACCTTGGAAACATTGGTGAAAAAAGAAAATCTCTATTTCTTACAATTATTGCTATCTTATACCTAAAGATATCAGTTCATTTTTTTCAGATTGATAGTAAATTGAGGAAACCTATACGTAATTTTAAAATTCAAATTGTTTTGAAACCCTGTAGAGGAATTTGAACTCTTCAAGTGAGACAGCCATCTTAGTTTCCTAAAACCAGTTACCACTTTTAACACTTATCTGTGCAAGACTGACAACTAAAAATAATTTGTCACCATGTGTGTTAATTTAATTAGCAGATATAAGATTGAAATAACAGTACCGATTTGTGCAAAGTAAATATTAACAGATTGATAATGTTAGAAACCACATAATCCTCTAGGGATACGTGTTCATATGTCTGTGTGTGTGTAATTCAGAAAGGAATGGGTAATATCTGTCTCTTGTCCTTGCTTCTACTCTAACTAGGGTCACTTTAACCCACAGGCTGGTCACCCTCCCTAACCCCTTTGCTAATGAGTGGTGGTCCTGCCCCCCTGGCTGGCAGGCCCACCCTTCTTCAGCAAGCTGCTGCCCAGGGAAATGTCACTTTATTATCAATGCTGCTTAGTGAAGAAGGACTGGATATTAATTACTCCTGTGAAGATGGCCATTCTGCCTTGTATTCTGCTGCTAAGAATGGACATACAGGTAAGGATGGTGAGATCTTACCTCATTACACCACCTGCTTGCAAAAGGGTGGAGAGTCAAAAGCACTTATAACCATTGCTATGAGCAGAGGGTTCATTTTGGTTTCAGTTTTCTCTTACAGGTAGTAATGGATAATTTTTTTACGTGACTTAATGATTTCAAGATTTTGTGAACATTAAAAAAAATCCAAATTGTACAGTTCCATAATAATAGAAAATTTATTGCAGCTAGCAGAAAGTAATCTTTGTTTTATGCACAATGAAATGTATTGTGTATATAGAAATTTGGGGTCTGTAACTGTGAGGCACATTTTAGATTAAAGTCCTCTGTCTGTGATCACTTTGGTCAGGACGAAATAGCTCTAATTTGTCTGTTAGAAATACCTGATGTCTGTGGAAGTCAAAGCCTCAGGGCTTTAGTGCATGCTACAGTGAGGGAAAGTTTTAGTCATTAGGAAAGGTCATGGGTCTGAAATTGTTCTGTAGTTGGAGCAATTTATAGTTATTTGGATTTTTTAAGAGAACTGAGAAGTTGTACAACTATAAATGACATATCGATGAAGTCTGGGAATTATTCTTTTCCTTAAAATGCAAATCCTATAGTCAAATATACTAAAACATATGGTAGTGCAGAAAAAGAGATGATTTGACTGCAGATGCAAAGTCAAATAGCATTGCATGTGTAAGCCCTATGATTGTCGATTCATTCAGAATGTGGCTTCCTTGGAAGTTTCCGAGCTTCACGTGTTCGAGTGGACTAAATGGAAGATTCTAGTGAGCTAAGAAGATAACTCATCATTTTAAAAGTACTTTGTAATTCTTTACTTCCAAATTACTGTGGGAGTTTTCTTTAACATGCAGAAATTGAATCTAGTGAAGAACATGAAGAGCATGAGGTCTAGGTGATATTTATACCTGAGTCAGGTGAATTTCTATGGGGTCTTGATCCTCATTCATGAAGTTAAGTGTAGCATGACTACCACACAAAAACATTTTAGAGATTAAATAAAACATCATAAAGTTAGAGTTTATTTAAATACAAAGGATGGTACTTTAATTTGGGAAGCGGATTTGGTTCTACATCCAATAACATTTTCTGGGATAGGCTGGTGGAAAAATCTGGTAAAGCATTTTCTGACACATGACAATCCTTTCACTCAAGAAGAACTCTTCCCAAAGCACCAAAATAAAACAAAAGATCTTAGTTGGTGAGCCTGGGGTATTACAGTCTTTGGGAAAAGAAACTGCGTCCCTGTAAAATGGTCCATGGAGTCTCACATCGGCCATGACAGAATTTCAGATGAACCGTGCGTGGGAGAGGTCCTTTGGGTCTTGTATATGTCTACAGCTTATATAGATTTGGCTGACCATAATTCTAAGTGGGGAATTAACACGGCATTCTATTAAAATCCATAGATTGTGTGAGATTGCTGCTGAATGCAGAAGCCCAAGTCAATGCTGCTGATAAAAATGGCTTCACACCCTTGTGTGCTGCAGTTGCTCAGGGACATTTCAAGTAAGTGAGGCTCTTACATTTTTTCTCCTATGAAAAGAGCCTTTTTATGATTTGCATACATATTTTAGTTCAGGCTGACTGTGTAAACTTGTTCTTAAAATCCATTGGCAAATAAATTCACTAAATATATTTGAGGATTTAAATGCAAGGTAGGATCCTGTATTTGCTCTTCTTAATGACAGTTAAATAGTTGTATATGAGGGAAGTGAGGAAGAGAAATAACACTGTGTCCAAACCTTACACGAACAAACTTGCTTCTGAAAAAGATAAGCTATTTATAGTATATCAGCATATATATATGTAGTGATATAATGGACTGTTAAAGACTTCGTTGTTCACTGTTTTCCATCACCTCAACACAAAAAAACTTTTTTACTTACAATAGCTTTAAAAGTAAAACATAAAATTATATTATTTGTAATAATCTTAACTTCTTAGGGGCAATTTATTCAGTATTAAATCCCAGTTATTCACCTTGTTTTATTATTTCAAAAAAAAATTGAAGCAGGGACTTTATATACTGAAAGTAATTCGAGCACAAAACCAAAAAGAGCCTATCAATTAAAATATACATAACTTAGGAATGATTCTTCAGTATCTTACTAAGTCAGTTGAATATAGACATGACTTTTTAAAACTGAGTCATAGTTTAATAATAAAATAAAGCCAAGTTGCTTTCTCTGCCTGTGCTGAAAGGGCAGGTTGTGAGGAATGCAAGCTGTTTTCAACTTTTTATCTAACTAGCTTGATAAAAATGTTCTTTAACAGATTTCATAATTCTTGAAATATGGGTTTTAAGATTCGCACCATTATTAATCATAAATGTAAATTGTTTAAAATTCAAAATGCATCCTTAGAGTACAGCATTATTTATTTGTTTCTGCAGGTCTAACACATATGTCACCACCCTGAGTTTATTATTAAGGACCATAGGTACTGATTTTACTGTTACTTTTTGCAAGTAACAAAAAAATCCAAGAAGGATTTTTTTCTTCTGGAATATGCTTTTACCTTTACTGTCACCAGGGATCTGTAGAGCCTCTTGCTTGGATAGGATCACAGTCATGGGAATGGGGGCGTGGATAGCTTTGCAAAAAGGGAGGACCCTGGGGAAATCCAGGGGCTTGATTAATTTAAATGTGTATGAGATACACACACATATCAATATGTAACATTTAAAAAATAATATGGGAGGCTGGCCCAGTGGTGTAGTGGTTAAGTTCACGCACTACGCTTCAGCAGCCCAGGGTTCACATGCTCAGATCCCGAGTGCAGACCTACACACTGCTCATCAAGCCTTGCTGTGACAGCGTCCCACATACAAAGTAGAGGAAGATGGACACAGATGTTAGCCCAGGGCCAATCTTCCTCAGCAAAAAGAGGAGGATTGGCAACAGATGTTAGCTCAGGGCAAATCTTCTTCAGCAAAA